TTAAATTTTATGTTTTAAATTAATAATTTATTTTTTAATTTTTTTTTTTTGATGACCGGTATTTTGGACCGGTTTTTTCCGGTATTTACGGTATGACCCCGGTACAAACCGGTATACCCGTAAATCCGGTATTCTGTGTACAATTGTACCATATCAATGGCCGGTATCCCGTATTACCGGCCGGTACGGTACGGTATTGAAAACACTGTTCTAGCCTACTATTAATAGTGGTGCTCTCTAGCTGTAACGCCCCACTTTTATTTGCCGAAAATCAGAATAAATTTTTCAAAATTTATTTCAACATTTAAGGTGTTACTCATTTATTTCAAAATCCTTTCAACATTTATCAATCATCAAACTCCCAAACAGGGTTCCAACCATCATCATGGTACTTAACGAGCATTCTCCTTAATATTTTTCCAATCATCAATAATATCTAAAATTCCTTAAATCCATAAATCATAAATTCCATAATATCCCAAGTTCATAAATCATGATATAAGTCATACAATTCATAAGTGGTACAAATAGCGGAAACATAACAATAATTAACCGGTATTATGGACAGACCACCACTCGCTCTACTCCGCCGTCGTACCTGCCTTGCTTAACCTGAAACGTGAATTTCAGGTGGGGATGAAGTAGTGCTCACCACTATGCAATAAACATTTACATATCATAACAGTAACAGAGATAGTATGATCACAGCATGTACATAAATCAATCAAGTATCCCAGGTTTCATCATAATTTCACAGTGTTCAGACTCATGTGCACATCTATACCAATAGACTACTGTTGATCCACGTATCGTATGCCTGCATAGGCCTTACGTATCGTATGCCTGCTTAGGCCTTACGGATCATATGCCTGCTTAGGCCTTATGACACTACGTTTATGCCTCTCGGGCTTCTATCGGTGCCCAGTCAGTAGGAGTAACCCCTCGGGTTTCATTTCATAAATACGGGACAACCGTTCGACGGCCAGTATAGCTCACATCGAAGGCTACATGATTCGTAAGCACAAATTGATCATATACGAGTAAAGTAAACAATTTATTGCATAGACGATTTTAGAATAACAACCCACCTGGTCGCGAATCGGATATAATACGAAAGCACGAATAGGCTGCAAGTTCGGCTCGTCAAACACCTACATTAAGTCCAGATGCTATAATCAACATCTATTTTGACTTAAACAGAAATCACAATCATACTTAGTCGAACTTGATTCAACTAAGTTGTTCGTGAAGTCTTGTGGACATTGGAACACTTAGACTCAACACAAGACTCAACCAATTACACATAGGAGTTCACATAAACCAAAACAAGGATTGACCATGTCAAACACTCAAAGAATCAGATGGCGAATCGATTTACAGTTTTTATTGCAAAAGCCGTATTTTTGAAAATACTAGATTTTAATCACCAAAATAAGTTGGTCAGGTTATCAACTGAGTTTAACTCCGAAATTTTAACCAAAATTTCACCTCCCAGAATTAAGCAAGACCACCAATTTTCAGCCCAAGCTCAAAGTGTGCTATTTTATAAAATTCGAGCAAATTTATGGCAAAAACGAGCATCAATTAGCAATCAGACCAAATGAATGAATTAACCTATGTGATTTTTATCTAAGGAACCCCAGTCTGTAAATAGCAGGGTGTAAAAATTTCAGCTCTTAATTCCTAACATGCGATTTACTAAAATTGCTACAACATTCAGCTATTTTCGAATTTTCAACATAACTGAACCTAAATGAACTCCAAAAATTCTCATCTTTTAATAGCATGAATCTACACATAAAACAAGCATCTCAGCCATGTTTCAGAATTTTTCAATAACTAACCGATTTATAATAATTCAAACAACTTTCTGCAGAATCAGTAAATAAATTATTAATCGTATCAAACTCAGTCCAAAAATTATGAAAATTTAACACAACCCTTAAAACAGAATGAAGAACATCATAATCGAATTTCATAATTTTTGGAGCACAACTCAATTTAATAGGCAATTAACAAGATTCTGCTCAGAATTTCATACAATTATTAAAAATAGCTATACTTAATATTTTAATCCAAAATTTTTACACAAGATATGTATGTATTCAGCAGAGGGACTAGCAAATAAAATTTCACAGCAATACGAGCAGCATACAATTTATCATAATTTATATACTAAAACAGCGACAATACAAGTTCATTAATTCATAACCGCCTCGTTTTACGACGAATTCGTCCGAGACCTTCACCATAAGACCAAGAACTCAAAAATGTTTCATTTTCCACAGTCCTATACACGAATGACAAGCTCTCATACGATTTCTCAAAATCGACGAGTTCGTCTATACACATTCACATATATATCGAACCAAATTCGAACTCATGAACACAAAATTTAACATAGGCATAATCACATGAATTCGATAATCTCATTAAAAGACATCACAACATGGATTAAAACCCCATTAAAGCCCAACGATTATTCAACACCTTAGAACACAAAATTTCGAAAATAAAAATGGTTCAACTTGGAAATGAACTTGATTTTACAAAACCAAATTTTCTCATAATGAAAACCATAACTTCAAGCATAATATTGGACACTAAAAGTTCTATTACCAGCATTAAAAGAAGCTAATAAATTCGGCTACAGACTGCTCATTTCACGAAATTCAAAGGTCTAAACACTTGGAAATTAAAAATTGTTTTTCTCCCAAAATTCAAAGCCAATATCTCACAAATTTGAGTCACAAACACACCAGCTACTGAGGCGGTTTAAGGCTGCAAAAGTTTTGAAAACACAGTCCCAAAATACTCACGGCAATGAAGAATATTATCAAGTAAAAACTCCCAAAATTTCTAAACATACATGACGGGCTTCAAAACTCAACCTTGCAAAAATATACTCACGGCCGAGGCTTTATACATACTTGAATCCCTCAAAAAAAAATCATGAAAAACAAGAGGAGGGTATAGCCTTATACCTTCTTCCGGAATCTACTAGTCGGGATCGAAAGAGATCAAAACTCAAGACCTCGGACGCTCAAACTCGGCCTCGGCAAAGCCCGATAAACTCTAACCGGCTTCTCGGGGACAGATGCTACACGCACAGAAAAGCCTTCGGTTCACGTGCTGCTAATTGGCTTCTCGCGTGGTTGTTCTCGGTGATTATTCTCCGGCGAAGAGGGCTCGCGGCGGTGGCTGGAAAAACGAGTGAAAAGGGCTTGCTGCTCGCTGTTCAGGATTTTCTGAGTTTTTGTGGATTTTCTTCAAAGTATTGAATCAGAGAGATACGAAAGAGAGGCAAGAGCTTTCTGATTTTCTAACTCAAGGAGCGTGTGGAATGAGGCTTTTAAGAAGACTTGGAGAAGGGGTTTCTCACTTACCAAATAAGGCACGATTTTAATCCCCCTTCCACCTCTGAAGCACGGTCAAATTGGAAGGAATCAAAATCTCCCCTAAATAGATTAGGCCAAATTTGAATTTAAGGAGAAAAATGAGCTTAGAAAAATATTTATAGCAAAAATTGATATCCATAAGTACAAGGCCGGTTTATAGGAGCTAAATTGGACCGAAATTAACCTTGACTTGGGTCAAATGAAAAAATTCAGGGTTTGGGTCAAAGAGAAATCAGGTCGGGCACATGGATTCAAGAATTGGGTCGAGTGCCTCAGTTCTCTCGAGCTCAACAATTAAAATAGAACGAATATTATTTATATACATTTAAACACACAATTTAATATAAAATAGTAATAATAATAATAATAATACAAATATGTGATTTAGGCACTTTAATTACAATTTGGAAAACAAATAATATGTAGACAATTAGATATTTAATCGCAATTTAACAAATAAATAATATTAGACATTCAATAATAATAATAATAATAATAATAAATAATAATAGCAATAATGATAAATAAATCCCAAATAATTCATAATTACTCATAAATAAACGAGGCATTGTAAGATCTATTTTGGAATTAAACATGTGTAATTGATTCATGGGTCATTATATTGTTTAGCCAAATTAAGTGATCAAATTATGTATATTGGCTAAGGAACTTAATTTAGATTGTAGAATGATTAAATGTGGACACCCGGTAATATTATTATTTGGTGACGTGACAAATAATAATATTACACTTAAGGACCTAATTAGCAATTAATTTGGGTCAAAATTAATAATGGGTGGAGTCCCCAAAATATAAATAAAAGGGGTCTTTTGCAATTCTTCATAAAGTGATGAGAAGAATAAAAACTGTAGAGTTTCCCCACTCTCTCGATCAGTTTTATTCTTCATTACGTCAGAAGAGGAGAGGTTACAGTTCACGGCTTTTGGAAGAACTCCAAATCTCAATCCCAAAATCCCAATTCAATTCCAGTGAGATCAATCAACATTAATCCATCAGGTACGCTTCCGCTCTTCGGTATGATTCTCGATTGTTCAATATGCATGTTCTTGGGATTAAATCGATTTATTTCGAATAAAGATAAATCCAATTCTATCAGGCATTACAGTGGCTTTGCCTCCGGTATTAGGATGACGATCTATATGTATCAGTAGTCTTTGTTTGATTTATGATAATTTCCTATCGTTTCATTTTAGAAGAAAAAAACAAANNNAAAAAACTTATACAATGTATGCATTCTTATTATAAATTAAAGAAACATTGCAATCAGATCATGTGGTCGTGCCGGAGTGGTTATCGGGCATGACTAGAAATCATGTGGGCTTTGCCCGCGCAGGTTCGAATCCTGCCGACCACGTTTTTTATTCTTGTTCAATTGCCTCGAATTGTATTTTATTGAAAACGATTTATTCTGGTTCCAATTGCCGAATTATTTTTTTATTGAAAACGAGTCAAACTAGAGTTCCAAATTTTTTTCCACCTCTCTCTCCATCTATCGTGTTAGGAATTAGTAAACTGCATAATCTTTCTAGTTGAAATTCTGGTTGTGTAGTTTATAGAGGCTTACTCGACTGAAAAAGAAGTCACAGGGGAAAAAAAAAATGATGATTATTCATGGACAGTAATTTGAACACATCGTACAAAAACTAGGCAGATAAAACCAGTTTTGCTCGCTCCCACATTACAATCCAAAAACCAATACAAGGAAACAACTTTTATCATTGTTTGGGGCAAAAAATGTAAGAATATATGTTCAAGCAAGAAGCTTAGCATCTACTTTTCTTCTCCCCACCTCGGGCAGCTCCATCTTCCGACTGCCTTTTAGATGCCGAAATCTGCGTATCTGTCACTTTACGTCTGTTAACAAACTCCGAGAAAGACAGAATTTGTGGTCTCAATGTATCCCGAGCAACAGAAGATACAGGTTTAATGCTATCTTGAGTTTCTTTTTCCTGCTCTCGTGAGATTTCTGGGGCCAACACAGTAATAACCTCAACTGACTTTTTAGAAATTGTATCGAGTTTAACTTTGAGCTCGTCGGGTGTTGCTTTCGACAGCCATCTAACCGTACTCGCCATCTGAGACAAATAAAACGACTTGCCACTTTTCTCGTACTTCTTATGGCATTCACTCTCGATTGCATCAGCACATGAACTGAAATCAATCCTGAACGAGTTTTCACCAAACTGGACACATTAAGGATTCGAATGACTGAATTATAATTTAGCCGACCATAGAAGAATTGGGTGAGAGGAAGCATACTGTAAATTGGTGAACCGGGTCTGGTATTGGTTGAATGTGTTTAGTAACCTCTGCTTACTGGACTTTCTCAGGTTTTCAGATATGGAGTTCTTGTCAGATTTGTTCAACTAACAAATGAAGATAAAGTGTGCTCATCATTGTAGTAGCGAATGGAAACAGAAAAGGGAAAAGACAATAGGAAAAACAACAATGGATCTGGAGTTTAGTTATAGAGTTAAGCAAATGCAGACAGATGGAATAAAAGAACGTAAAGAACGAATTGCAAGATCAAAATTCTTCATTTGGGTATAATAGATTAAACAGAAAGCATGAAAATATTCAGATTAAACGACGGTAATCAAACTTAGATTACAGGGGGACATATAAAAAGTACATAATAGGAATAGAACCAAAGGAAGTGCAAGTTCATCACTAGGTACTAAAGGTTATGGTCCTCATAATCTTGTGATTATGTAATAGACTTTCTACTTGCATAATTAAAGGATATGCATATTCTACTTGCATGTACTCTCAAGCTACCTATGTTTCAGTTAATGTTTAAGAAATAATTTTAAAATATATTAACTCTGCTAATCCTACATGGAGAAAAAAAAGGGACAAAACACACCTTCTTGTCTTGAATATTTGTAGTCCGGTAATAGTTATCTTCTGCACGCTGCAATAGCTCCATTCTTTCACTCATCCTCGGTTCTGAAGATTTATTTTTAAGTGCAACCCTTTTTGCTAACTCAACAGGATCTGGAGTCAAATGATAGCATGTCAAAAGAAGCACAGTACAAAAAACAAAGAAAAAAGCAACCCCAAGCCATATCAATGAATACAAAACATTTGCTATATTTTGCCCCTAGTCTTATTACTGAAACAGATATCTCATAACTTAAATATACCATCAGAATCCGATATATCTTCCTCAGATGCACTTTCTTCATCATCACGGTTCCAGAATTCCGAATACTGCTCCTCACCACTGAAGGCTGAAGCACTGCACGAAGATACATATACTAATCAGTACACAAAAACAAATGGATGTTGTGGCTTGAGATATAACAAGACAAAAAAAATGTTTAATAGATAAAGAAATCAGTGATTATTCAACTGCATCGTTAACGAAAATGAAGCAATGGTTCCTTCAGAAACTACTACTGCTCGTTAGGGAACACAGCAAGATATTTACTATAACATGAATGGCTCCACCTGACAAAGTTATGACTAGAGACCTTTATTATCAGTAAGTAATATCCTGACGACGACAGGATATTTAGATTTCCCTACGTGGTAGTTAGTTACCAACATCACTTGTGCAATGTGATTCATTCATCCTCTAAATACCCAGATTAAAATTCATGTCAAAGCTGCATCTTTCCTCTCATTAATGTATATAACCGTGCTTCAAAGTTCACATGTATAAATATATAAATCATCTTGTTTAATTATTTTTCACATCCTTCCGAATCCTCTATCACATACTTTAAGACAGTAGAATTTTTTTTGCACCAATTTCAAGCATTCTAAACAAGAATAGAGAAAAGATTCATTTGGTGAAGTTTGAGAAGATACTACAAGTATGGAGCAGATATGTCAGATAGCTCATTTAAAATATCTTTCTAAAATGCTGAAGGCCATATAATGTTTCACATCAACTCAACAACTCTTGCAAGTTGCAGCAGCAATAGGATCCTCTTTCTTCACATGACTGCTGCAAATCCCATCTTTCTCCAAGCAATTGTTTAAGTAGTGAGCCCTTTTACAGTGAGATCAGGACAACATATATAAAAAGCCCCAAGGACAAATTTACCCGAAACAAAGCAACCAATTATATCAATGGCAGATTGTAGAAAAATAGCGGCAGAAAAATACCATAACTGCCATCCTTCATAAATTTCTAATGGCAGTTAGGCAGACATCCCCCACGCCATATCACACTGGCGGATAATTAAAAACACTGAAAGAAACAGTCCAAAGGCCAAGCTATCTTAAGAAAGAACAAACAGCAGGGTAATGAAATAGACTAATTTAAATAAGGTATCCATGACCTGCTCATGTATATCCGAGATGACCCATTTCTATGCCGAGTAGCAGTAGCACTTGTGAGATCCTCCAAATACTTTGAAACAACATTAGGATGTTTGCATGCGTCACATGATTTAGCGCAGAATGATGATGTTACCTGCCTCCAGACAGAAGAAAGCCTAATAATTAATATAAATATTCCATACATGCAAACTAATAATCAAAAGAATGGTGATCTAGCCCGATTGAAATACCTCTTCTCCAAAACTTTTAAGGATCTTTTTCCTTCGACAGCCAGACCCCTCACAATATTCAACCATCTAAATAGGGTACACACAGGCTAAAAATCGATAAAAAGGCACATGTTTGCATTATTCTTGAGGAATGCACATATTTACCTCACGGAAATCGCTGAGGGGTTTTTTGGAGGACACATCCTCAGAGCTTGAAGATTGTGACTTATTGTTAGCAGCCTTATTCAAAATGAATTCCTGCAATATGCATATAGAAATTTATAATTCACTCACTGTTAGCTTGTGAATTCTATTGAAAGCGATATTTCATAAGATGAGATAATCAACCATTTTTCTACGATCATCCACTCCATAGTACAAGAGACTTTGAGAAGGCAATTGATCACGGCCAGCTCGACCTGACTCCTGGTAGAAGGACTCCATAGACTTGGGGATATTAAAATGGCAAACAACTCTAACATCCTTCCGATCAATACCCTGATAATTTATTTAAGATACCACAGATGGAAACCTGATTTTAGCTCTATATAAGCGATATATTTAACATTTTATACTTTTCCAAAATGAAAGAACCGTTGCATACCATCCTGCAGAAAAACCAACATTTCAGAAGCTCAGTACACAACAGGACAGCTTCCCCAGCAATTAATTCCCAAAACCAACAAACAACAAAATGATAAAGTCGGGAGTTAATTTCATTTAAATAACAAAGACAGAAAAAGCTTAACAGAAAATGTAAAGACATGTAGTTGATATTTTATATTCTATATTGAACAAGTTTCAATAGGAATGAGCTGATGCTGATCAACGTAATATGCTAGATTAACTAGAAGTTGTAATGCACTTGGTAACTTCTATGATATACAAGATTAACTAGGACAACTTTCAGAAATCGAAGTGATGTTCATGATAAGTTCAACTTCTGCTCTCTTAAAGAAACCTGATCCTGATCAACATAACTGAGAGCAGTAAAACCCAGGGAAATCCACAAGAGAACTTATCAACTTCTACATGTCTGGTTCAGCAAAATGGAGTACAACGCAATCCTACCAATTAAACCATGACTTGAATAACTCGAAGAAAAAGTAGAAGAGGACATACCCAAAAGCTACAGTAGCCACAACTACTTGTGTTTTAGAGGATATCCAATCATCCAAGACAGAGCTCCTTAATTTACTGTTTAATCCTGCATGATATGCTAAAAGTGGGGAAACATAAGTTCTGTCTGAAAAGTCTAACATGAGTAATGTGCTATTTTTTCAAAGACGCTTCAGAATATTATTGAATTACCAGCAGAAGAAATTCCATGCTTGGATAAGTGCACGGCCAGTTCATCACAAGCTGCACGCTCAAGGCAGTAAATAATGGCACATATGTTTCCACAGGATTTAAGATAATTACAAATATCGGAATATGGATTATCCATCAAGTCTTTATAGCGAACTGCATGATAAAAAAGAAATGTCAGAATTAACTTAATATTTACACTAAAAAATCCACATAAAAAGAATACATAATTGACCGACCATCCATGAGCATCACCGGTGCCCGGAAACAAAAATCTAAAATACACACACACACATCCATGAGCATAACTGATGCACTGAAATGGTTCTATGACAATAAGATCCAATTGTACAAAACAGAAGTAAATCTCAACCACTCCATGAGATCATCTGATAGTTAAACAGTAAGTTCAAAATGGTCAAATTAAATAAAAAATGTGAAATTCAATATTATGAGATGGCTACTGGGAAGCAGTCGATCTGAGAAAACTGGTGCTGTTTCTCCTTAATTTATTGCTCGTTTGCAACTTTTTATGACTACTTAACGAGTAATTTAGCACTAATTATGGATTTACCCAAGAAAAACAGAAGTAGTTTCAGTGGTTTAGTGCGTTTTTACAGAATTGAAATGCTACTACTGACAAATATGATTCTCTGCCAATTTCCGAGACATTTTAACCTAATAAAAAATTCCAATGTTTCATCTAAAATGGATAAAAATCGTAAAGAGTAAGATATGAACGTTTAAAAATATTATTTTCTCTCTCAAAACTTGAATTTAAGAGTTTGGAAATGTAGTTGTAGGTGGAAACACCAGGTAGGCAGATTAAATGTATATGCTATTTTCACCCAACGTAATGCTATTTGTACCAACTATAGTGCTATATAAAAGCAATATATCACTGTGTAATCTTACATGAGTTGGTGGAGTCTAGTAAAGATTAAACATATGGATGTGCCAGGCCTACTCCTATAACTTACACTAGGGTTCTTTCCTACAAGAATCCACACCTATATACACACGCAGATTTTCTTCTTTAGATAAATGAAATTAAATAGTCACCATGATATGAAGAGTTATTGAGAGAAAGATGCTTAGGTAAATGTAAATCGGATCTTATAGGGGAACTTACCTTCATAATATATATTTGGGCGGTTGAATGATGATTTCAGAACAAGTGGGTTCTGCAAACACAAGGATACTATCACATCCTCTTGGACTCTGCAGGAAGTATCAATTCAGTCTTAAGGTCAATGTTTGTAATCAATTGTTTTTTAAAAGATATATCAAGAAAAATAAGTTCCACAATAATTTATGATGAACATCAAGGGTTGTTGTTTTTATTAATTTCAAAAAAAATATTTAGATATATTTTAATTGCAGTTAAAGTCAGCATTCAAGAATGTATATGGAACTACCCTTCTGTTTAAGTCAAATTAAAAATAGATATCAAGAATAACAGTGGATGTCAAGAACTAATTTAACAATTGAAGAACTTAAACTTCATAAAACCAATAATACATGCCATAAACAGAATTGTTGATCATACTCACTTAGGAGCAGCTGTAGCTGTCAAAGCCAGAACTGGTACGCTGGGCAAGTGATTCCTTAGAGAAGAAAGCTTTCTGTAGCTTGGCCTAGAATATTAGGGCAATCCAAACATAGTTTAAAATTATTCAAACAACTTTAGTAACAAAATTCAAGTGAACACCATAAAGAGAGGTGCAAACACACTTGTAACATAGATTTAGAAAGAGAAATATTTCAAGTGGTGACAAGATACTTTACAGGACTTATGACTGAAGGAGAATAGTGAAGTGTATTCAGGGGCAATAATTTTTTTCATAAAAATGTAGTAGAAGCCAGAATCTCATCGGTAAGTCCCTGTTATTTTATCATGACACACCTGATAATGCATTTGTATGCATATTCCATAACTTGAGACATCATATCTCTCAAGCAGAAATCATAAATTTAATTGTCAGAAGTCAGTTGTAAAGTAAAATAAATCCAAAAGATTCCACAATTTTATATTTTCTTAGTTCATAGCTTATAAAATTATGAGACTGAATGGTTCTTGTCCCATGACTAGTAATTTCACTGTGAATGTCAGCTCGCCAGCTACTTATTAAGACTACAAAAGAGTAAATGATGGTTGTTCTAACACAGGCGAGGGCCCAAGATTGATGATAGATATTCAAATGTTATCAATATGTGACATAGAAGTTGAAGTTTGAGAGGCAACCTGAAATCATGTCCCCATGTTGATACACAGTGCGCCTAACAATAAGCAGAAGTGCAAGAAAAATCAATACCTTGATAAATGAAAATTTTACATTTATTATTCACTTAGATGCTCCTGTGCAACAACTAATCATAAATGCTATTTAAAGCCAGTTCAAGTTTTTACCTCGTCAATTGCAATGAGATTGAGCAATCCTCTGCCATGAATCTTTCTCAGCTTTGCCATAAACCCTGATGTCGCAATGAGTTCAGGTGTAACATATAGCAGCCTCAAAGATGGCTTTCCCATATCAAGGTTTTCATAAACCTGAAACTCAACAATATGTTTGTATCTCAATACAGATTGATTAAAGTAAACTTTGTCTATCAATTCGTTTTCTGATCATGATCTCAAAATATAGCTTCCATGTTTGAGCATCTTACAATTACATAACAGGGTGTTGCTGAGAAACTTGATTAAATAACAAGACAAATAGGCCTCTAACGACAGTATCACTTTAACATCAAAATAGGAAGAACAGTATCTATGCTGAATTTATTTCAAGCTGACCCAAGTTGGCTCTTGAAGCAATGAGCTTTTAAGCTCAAACTTATCATTAGAAACACTTGTTTTAGGCCAAACAACAAAACTAGACTAGCAAGTGAGCTTGAGTATGACAATCCTATGTGCCAAGCTCAAACATCAAAATTAGAATTGCAAGCGAGCTTAATTTTTAGATCTTTTTTTCCTCCGCTCCTTGCAGCATAAGAATAAATATGTACTGATCTTACACGAACCCTCCTCAAAAAGTTTGTTAGATTGAAAGGTTAATATGAATAAATTAATGAAATGAACATTAGAAGTAGTGACGCATCTAAGATAATACTGCATGACCTTCGCTCACGAATAATTCTCCTTGCTTAAGCTGTCTAAATTGCTTGTTACATTTAAATGTGTACGATCAATCTTAATGTAATGCCGCCAATACATTTCCTACTTACTGAAATTACAATTCTAATTAATACCTCATTCTTAGCTTTAACAGTCAGGGTTGATGAGAGATATTCAGCAGCAATCCCTTCCTCTTTCAAAGCTGATACTTGATTTTCCTGGCAGGAGAAATATATTACTCACAATTAAATGGCCAGATGATTTCTGTTTATTATATACATAAACGACAAAAACATCAAAGGTGAACTATGCTTACCATAAGAGCTGAATGTCACAAATAATTGTCGTACTAGGTGTCAGATCATGTCCTGGAATTCGCAAAGAGATAGGAATTTGTGCAGCACAAGCTTTCACAATGTCATAAGGTCAACAAAGACTGGTCATATTTACCTATTAGAGGACTAACAACGAGAACAATTCCCTGTTTTGCAAGAGCAGGAATCTGATAACACATCGACTTTCCTCCACCAGTTGGCATAAGACAGAAACAATCTCTCCCTGCATTGGGCATTAGGCATTGTTCAATCACTATATGGGTCGTGTTGACGCGAAAACAAAAATGCTACATAACACTCCTCATAACCTTCAAAATGGGCCCTTAACAACATATGCATACATACACAAACACACACACATATGTTTTCTTTGGATAAATCAAAATGAACAGGGACCTGATAAAACAGCTTCAATGGCTTCCAACTGCTTCCCACGAAAATCAGGATATCCAAAATGCCATCGCAAAAGCTTTACCAAAGCTTCCTTCTTGATCACATGCTTTTCCGCCCCGGGCACATTTTGCAGAGGTAGCGGTGATTTACTCATCGTTCTTAGGCTGAAACCCAGAAATCAGTACATTCATGGTCGAATTTTAGCAATTTCGAGATAAAATCACATTAAAACAATTGAGCATAGTGCAAATGAACATATATCCTCGTAACAATTAACTAGAATATTTTCAGTTATAAAGATGCTCTCTAAATTGAACATGAGAAAAGACTTCAATTTTATGCACGATATGCAATTAAGCAAGCAACAATATGAATAGATGGAAACTGCAATGATTATATTCATGTAAACATACGTAAACACGGATACAAAGGTTATATGTGAAGCGAATGAAAACGTAGAGAATGCGACAGCCGTATACCTTGAAGAATCAGGTTTTCGCCGAGAAGAAAGGGATCGACATCTAGTTCTAGAGTGGCTCTGTTTCCCTCCTGTGTGAAGTCCTGTAGATGCTTGCATATAATTTTTTTTTGGTTTTTATTGAATTTTTTGGTTTTGTATAGTTAATTTTGGAAAAAGTAATATATTTAGTGAAAATAACTATTTTCACCCCGTTTTGAAGTCCTCCTAAGTTTTTCACACCACCCAATAAAAAGCTAAGTTTTTCACCTCAAAAAGTACGAAGATATATGCGATGAACTATGCGATAGATAGACGACCGGTATGAGCATGGGCAGAAAATTATGAGTTAAAGTATGCAACTGTTCTGTGACGAGTATGCGAAAACTCGATGTACGATTCGGTCAATCGCGGTCCGTCACCCATTAAATAATTATTCTTGTTAGGCAAATGAATCTGCGACTATTAGTTGAAAAAATTATTCTGCGAGATACGAACGTCGAATATTATTCGCAGAGTTGGTGCATAATAGTTTTTTTGTAGAATATTTTTTATTTCTTTCATCTTTCAGTTATGCGATGGGGTATGCGAATTGCCGCATATTGCTCGCACTTCTACTCAAAAGTTATTTTTTATTTCTTTCAGTTATTTCAGTTATGCGAGGGGGTATGCGTATTGCCGCATATTTCTCCCATATCCCCTTCACACTTCTACTCGAAAATTTAATTTTTATTTCTTTTTTATTTCTTTCACCTTTCAGTTATTTCAGTTATGAAATGGGGTATGCGAATTGCCGCATATTGCTCGCATACCCCACTTCGCACTTCTACTCGAAAGTTTATGTTTTATTTCTTTTTTATTTCTTTCACCTTTCAGTTATTTCAGTTATGAGATGGGGTATGCGAATTGCCTCATATTGCTCGCATACCCCCTTCACACTTCTACTCGAAAGTTTATTTTTTATTTCTTTCATCTTTCATCGTTTAACTTAGTTTAATTATTTTCTTTCAGATATGAGAAATGCCACATACATACAACAAACAACAAAAATATAATAAAATGCAAAAAAAAAAAAAAAATGTATTACATGAGTAATTACAGAACTAGGGCGGTAATAATTGTTTCTGGTTCTGTACTAAACTGAAAAATTTGTCGAGCAATTTTGCGCCTCATGTCTGTAGCCCACTGCTAGTTAGAGTTGTCTAAGGGCTTGCTCCCCATTAGCAAAGCTCTTACCATCTCCATAATGCATACACCACAAGAAATCATACACACGTATCGTCCCCTCGAGTAAAAGAATCTGGAAAGCTACGTAGTGCTGCGACAAATTCGCAACTCCAATAATCTGTTGCATTGAGTTGTGAGAAATTCATTAATTTTTTAGGAAAGATTGCAATATTAATTGATTTGGAATCATTGAAAACTTACAGATGTAATATCCCTCCAAGTAGATTCCCCAATCGCTGACCCCCTCATTCGCATAGCGAATCAAAGATTGGAGGTTGTCCGAGTCCGCTAGCTCTTTTTTAGCATGGACCTCCTTCTCCAATTCTCCCAGAATCCACTATATAAAATACAACAAAATAATAATTAATAATGTAATTAATATAATTATTAATAAAAATGAAATGACAAGGAAAAGAGAAAGGATTAAAATAATCTCACAAAAAACGTAGTCGACACGATGGTATAAGTGTCCAACATGTTGTCTGGAACTCCAAAAATAGTGGATTGCTTTGCATAATCCCTAAGTATGCATTCACGCGCTGTTTTATAAAATCAAACCAACCATCATCCATGAATTCATTTTTATACGTTAAGATATCATTACAAGACAAGCATATACATACATCCTCCTCCATCATTGAAGCCGGATCAATCAACTCCGTAAACCAGTGCTGGCCCACCTCATATTTAACGCCGACATTCCTCCTATTAAATAATATAATAAAAAGTTATTTTTTTTTAAAAAATATAAACAATAAAAGATCTTTTGGATGTAATTACATTTCTGGCTTCGTGGATTTGAGGAACTGTTCAAACGCGCGCTCATCTTTGGCATACCGTTTGTTCTCGTCGAGACGATATTGACTTACAACAGCACGTCCAAGAAGTGGAGAAGAAGTGGACTGTAGCACCGGTGTCTCGGGGACGGGATTGGGGACGACTGTCTTGGAGGTGGAGGGGTTGGCGGCGGTTGCCTCGGAGGTGGAGGTGGGATCGACGGCTGTCTCGGTGAGGGAATTGTGGACGGCTGTCTCGGAGGTGGGAGTGGGGGCACGCTGTCTCTTTGGGGAGGGGGTGACGGTTGTCTCGGAGGGGGTGCGGGAACGCTGTTTCTCATGGGAGCGGGTGGGGGAACGTTGTCTCATCGAGGAGTGGGTGAGGGAACGCTGTTTCTCATGGGAGCGGGTGGGGGAACGCTGTTTCTCATGGGAGCGGGTGGGGGAACGTTGTCTCGTCGAGGAGTGGGTGGGGGAACGCTGTCTCGTCGAGTTGACGGCTAGCTCAGACTCGGGAGGAGGCTGTCTCAGATGGGAGTGCGACAGATTGGCCAACTCCTGTCGAATAATAGTCGGCACCTCCCGTAGAATGATTGCCGACACCTCAGAGGATATTCTGGCTATAACATTAGCCATTTCAGCCCGTACGCACGCCCGAATATCCTCAATAAAGGCCGACCTATCTGTTGGCCTCACCTCTTCCCCGTGCTTCGGACTATCTTCACCCTCAGTCCGGGCCCGCTTCCTCGGGTGCACAGTGTCAGCCCGCTTCCTCGGGTTAGCCCGTCGCAAAAATTGAGGCCTTTCAACATTCAAATTCGAGATGTCCAACACGCCAATCTCCTCCTCATACAGATTCAGCTTCTCATGCACCTTCAACTAAATTTAAAAAATAGAACATAGAAATAAAGAAATCATCAAAAATCGTTAAGACTTAAAAAAGAATTTCGGATATCACTTGCTAACGATTCCAATAAAAAATGTTTAGGATCAAATAATACCTGTTGGTCAAAAAATGTATCTAGAAGGGTGACCTTCGGGAATTCTCAGTGAACCAACCGTGGTGGATGTCTCACTGTGGTACGTGTTCCACATGTACGACCTAATTCAGGGATTGCCTCGTAGCACCATACTAGAAACGCCCAGTGAAATCCGTAGATATGATATTTCATATTAGTGTACTTGGGCGTCTTCAAGTACTCGAACAGGTACTGAAACGAGTAACTCCCCCATGGGAATTTCTCCCACATCTGGTCTTCCTCAAGCAAAGCCCACCAGCAGTTATCAATATACCGAGTGTCACGCCCCGTTTTATTTTAAAGAATTTATTGAATTAATTAATAAAAATCAGAGTTTTTTTTTTTTAAATAATCCAAGTTAAAACCTTTATCGAGACGCGGCCGTTACTTACTAACAACAATAAACAACACACAACCAACAATTCAAGAAAACTACACATGCTCGAGCTAACGATATAACAAGTTCCATAAAACATAAGTCTCAAAAACCATTTCAAAAGGTCTAGCATTATTCAAAGCTCAACCATCTTAACATAGTTCGAAAAGTGAAAGCAGTAAATAATCCAAGGCAATTTGGCAAATAAATAAATATCAAGTTTACGGAAGCATAGGTTTTCGACACATAATGACCACCATCTCGCTCGTCCTACGCCACCGCCTCCAGCTCGTCTCAACCTAAAACAAAGGAAGAGAGAAAACAACAAGAAAATAATGGGGGTGAGCAACCAACTAGCTCACCATTATCGCACAGTTATCCCGCATAATTATTTTAAAAGCAGTAACACAAATTCAGTATCCGTATGCATAGAATCCAACAGTCTAAACCCCCTACCCGGCCCTATCGCAAACCTCCTATGTACATACAACAAACCTTCCGACCAACCATCGGCAAGGCCGTAACTGGAAAATTTCCCCCACCCGAACTACTCACGGATCATGGATGTTTTCCAGGAGACAGTGGAGATGTTTCCCCCTCCCCCCCCGAAACTCACACGGATCAGGGCGTCGCCTCCCGGATACAACGGGCAGGTGACCTCACACTGTTATGCATTCGTCAAAGGCACTACCAATAGGAATACTTAGACTAGGGTTCTCACGCATACATTCATTTTTCAAAAGAAGAATTATACGAAATAAATAGTGCGATAAATATGGGATACATCATAAATGTACCCACCTGATAGCAGCAACAGTTCATAGTCACAAATCTCGAAATAAGGCAAGGTCAACACCTCTAGACACCTACATGATGTCAAGATCCTACAATCAGAATCTATCTCGACTTAAATCGGAAATCACAAGACAGACCTAGTCGAACTCGTTTCGACTAAGTAGTTCGTGAAGTCCTGTGGATGTTGGAACACTAAAACTCGGCACTAAACTCAACCAAACCACATAAGGGAGCTCACATAAATCCATCCAAGGATTGACCAAGTCAAACTCACATCAAAACGAAAAGCAAGTCGATCTCCAAATTTTCATATAAAAATCATGCTTCGAAAATAGCAACTATTAATCGCATGAAAATAGATGGTCAAGCTACCCTACGACTTAGGCTCTGAAAATTTACACAAAATTTCATCTCCCAGAAACATGTAAAACCACAAAGTTTCAGCTTTAAACTCGAAATACCCTATTTTGTAAAATTCGAACAAGATATCAACAAAATGGGCACATTAATTCATACTCGAACTTAATGAATGAATCTGAACTTGAAAATTTAACACAACCACATACAGCATGCTAAGTCCATGTATAAAAATCTCAGCTTTAAATGTTGACTGCTACTATATTTAAAAATTCATACGAGCAACAGCAGTTTAATCAAACTTAAATCCAAACTGAATCAAAACAGACTCCAAAAATTCCCATCTTTTACAAACATGATTAAACACATAAAATAGGCCTCTCAGTAAAATGTCAGAATTTTTCATGAAGTAACCAATTTATAAAAATTCAAACAACGTTTCTGCAGATTCGATAAATAAAATAATAACCACATCAAATCAAGTCCAAAAATTCTAAAAATTTAACACAACATATATGAGTCACAGAAGCATGACATAGTCGAATTTCAAATCGTTTCGAGCAGCGAGCT